CGTTATAATAATACCAAAGATTTTATCATTTCACGTACTGTAGAGCAGCTTACTCACAAGATGTATCGACAGACGGTATAAAAGTATGAAATGTACGACGTAAAAAGAGCAAGCTATGGGATTATGTGAAAGACATTCATCATCATGTCAAACCTTGAATATGAGTTATCTATAGCAGAGCATCCCACACTGAGCACACACTCACGCGGCTCCACTACAGATGAGTGATTACCTGCACGACGGAGGTGCCAACGTGTTCAGTGTTTTCTTCCCTAGTGTCAGATGAGAGCTGTTAGGTAACCTAAGGAGAGGCAGCGTCAGGCTCGTTGGCCTACACCGCTGGTGACCCCTCTCACTCTGCAGCCTACAGTGCCGTGTGCCCAGGGTACTTCAGCTGGAGAGCATCTTACATAAACAAACATTGGGCAAACATGTTGATGTTGGTATGACAACAGTCAAAATGTCACGTTAAATTGGACATAACAGCTGGTCGGTATTCAATGTCTCGCTTATGGACACTTCAGCAGTCTTTTACATATATTTACATGTTTGACCATTAAAGTAGTCCTAGTATCGATAATAAACTCTTTTATGTCCCCTTCTTCTCTGGACTTTTCAAGCAGACTGAATTTTGTATTGGTAAGCGCCCCTTTGTAAGCATCTAATATTTCCATGCTGACCTGGTTCCTCCTTATTGTTTGCTCTGCTGTGGTTGACCCAGGCCTTTGTATCCTCTCGTGTCTGCTTTATTTACATGATGTTACGCAAACTTCTTTTGCGGAAACAGCCTCGGCATGGTGACGTCCTCTGCACTAGATATTAGCAAACAGTGCTGCAATGCCTCTCCTCATTGCAAACGACTATGAGAAGGTCATCACCAAAAGGACGACGAAGGGGGGATATGATAGCAAGAGCACAAACGTCTTGGAGCTCTGAGACACCTTTTCTACTTAACCACAAGGACAACTCCACACCAGCTACATCACAGCTCAGTTTAATCTCCTCAGAGCCTCCTGTACCTGTTCCTGTACTTATGTTATTGAGAGAATGAGATACTAACTAGCTCTTCCTAAATGGGTGAGGAGAATTCCCAACGGCAAAAATACTAGAACGATAATGAGCGGGGAACACTCTTCAAGATAGAGGAACTATTTATTCAAGCATGAATCATTGCTGCCTGGGGAGTTGAACTGTGATGCCTAAAAGTGTGCTTGCAATCTCTGGCCACATTTAGACAATAGGCAGCACATTCTTACCCTCACAACAGTCTACATCAGTAATGATATTTTTGTCTGATGCTGATTTTTATCAAACGCCAAAATATGCCACAGACTTGTCCAATGATATCCAACAGCTTCATTCTATTTGACTCCTCGTTGTTGCAGCGATAAAACATTTTATTTCAATATCACTTTGCTCTCCAGAATGCAAGGATGGATTGGCAACATTTCAGACCTGCAACCAGACACAGAACTTTGCACATTTTTGTCATAATACCATGACCCGGGGCTTCCTGACACGTGTTTGCACTGTGCTCCATTTAAAACCAAACCTCTTTACTCTGTTTGTCCACACTGGTGTCATTTGGCTTAAAACAAGTAACACTGTGGAGGAGCCACAGACCGTATATAAGAAGTGGATGTAGTCAACGTGACGTTACCCATTGGTTCGTGGAATACAGTTTCTGAAACGTGACACGAGAGGATGGAGTTAGATACAACTGAACTCTGCAAAAGACATTTTTAGGCTTCCAAAAATGTTATAATTAACTTACATGAACTGAAAACAGACTTTGAAAGGGTTAAAGTTGTAAGGCGAAGACACAGACACCTCCCAGACTGGACAAAGTCAACCTGTCAATCACAAGGTAGCCACGCCCTAAAGCATATCCTGCTTCATCGTCTATTTTACTCTAAATTGGACCCTAACTTACAAAATGAATATCATGTTGTATTGAGACTTTTGACACAAAATTCATAAAAGCAAATTTGATGATGCAATCCATACACACACCAGGGATATATAGCATTGAACTCACACTCGCACAACCAATAAACTGCGTGCGAGTGAGAGAGCAACGTACAAAAATCACAGCTATGTCGATTTTAGCTGTCATTGCAGACTGGTGAAAATAAGGCAGCTACCAGAGATTGACACGCAGCTGCAGACACTTAGCCTCCTGTAGCCAAGTAGCTCTCTCAGTCCCTCCATAAAGACACTTCAGGTTTCTCAGCCGAGTTTACTTAACCTGCTGGAACTGCAGCATTTTCTCGGGACTCTGCTTCATCTCGGGGCTTATCTACCGCAAAACCAAGGCCGCCCGCTGTGGAAAATTCCCAAACCCAAACGTGACAGGAGCATGCTGAGAGAAGGAGCTCTTGTGGAGGCTTGTGGTGAGATTGAGCAAGCCTACTGTGTGAGGCACATGACATTCAAAAAAAAGAATGAAAAGGAGAAAAAGGAAAATACCACAGCCAGGACAAAGGAAAGCGATAGGAAGACTAGAAACCGGTTTTGTATCTACTGTTCCATATTCTACTGAAAGATTCGACTGAAAGAAAGAACTTTCTTTTCAATGACGACGCACATAGCCTGTAATTCGAGATGTCATAATGGACGAGGTTGGTAGTTAGTGTGATACATGTAAACAAAGCTTTCAATTTGCAGAATCTGGGACAAAAGGAAACATAATGATTGGCGGTTGAGTCAGGTTTTCTCTGTGTGTTGCTTTTTCTCTTGTTATCGGTCACTATCTGAACACACACACACACACACACATTCACACACACACACACACACACACACACACATTCACATACCCGTTTCCAAATAGGAAACAAAATGTTCCTGTGTGTACATTATAAAACACATAAAAAGATAACGTTTCACAGACTTATGGCCAAAAGAAGAGAGAAAGCGGTCGTTGGCTGTAACTGTTATTTCCACATACATATCAATGAGATGGCCCTCTGCATGAAGCCTGTCACATCCCTGCAGCCAGTATGAAAACATATCCTTTATATATTCTGGCGAGCTAGATATTGCAGTTATAAAATGGAAGGATGCTCTATTTTCATTTCTCGCAGTGCCCGATAAGTGAGGCGAAAGTTAAATGCTTGGTTTGGCTGAAGCCACCGGGGGTGTCCTCAAAGTCACGTACAGCGGGGCGAGACCCGCCTCAATGAGCCTTTTCCTTCTCAATGAAACATTCACAAGAGGGGGAGATGAAAGATAAATCAAGAAGAATAGGAAAATGAAATAATTGCTGACTTTGTTCACATTCTGATTGTAAGATGTTGCCTTGGTGTGTGTGTGTGTGTGCGTGTGTGTGTGCAATAAGCCACTTCAGACCTCCTAACATGAGTTTTGGGTGGTATCCATTTCATCACGTTATGTTCTAGGTCGAAGGCACAGGAGCACGGATGTGTGTATGCAATCATGCAACGTGACATAGCACAATGCCCAGTCCCTAGCCAAAACACAAAGGGTGGGACACACACACACAGGCTCTATGGTAAATGTCACACACACCTCACCGAGGGACGTGATTTCACACACGTCCCTCGTTTACCTTCTTTTCCTAAAATGGTCCGTGGGCTCAGATGGAGCGGAGAGCATCACACACACATTCTCATATGCGTAGTGCACAGTCAGTCTCATCTCGCTCTGCATTAAATCATGATCAGATGATCAGCACGGTGAGGAGACATGTTTAATAGAGGGCAGAGAGGGGAGGGGTAGTGTGCTGAAAACTACAGGAGGAAGATGAAACATGCTTTTGGTGGGCAGTTTGATTACTTAAATGTTTGTTTCAACTGGCATGTACCGACTTTAAAGTCACTTAACTTAATATTTAAAGAGTCCTTTTGACACTCATTTTAAATTGGTATTTCCTTTTTTGAAGATTGTCAAATGAAACACTGCATCACTTGAAACACATTTTGAATGGTTGCAGCCCACCACTTTGGTCCACACTGAAATATCACAGCAATTTTTTGGACTGCCATAAATTTTGGTAAAAACATTCATGCCTCCCTCATCATTAACTATTAGCTTTCGTGATCCCCTGACTTTTCATCTAGCAACACTACCATCAGGTCAAAATGTGAGTTTGTCTGATGCTTTGTTTTATGACTAAAAACCTGCAAAGCTAATGTCAGCATGCTAGGTCATCCAGAGCACTCAGCTTGCTGACATTCCTATTCCTCTCTGCAAACATGTTGTCAGACGGGATAGTTTGGCATTTATTGACCTTTCTTGCGTCAGCAGGTCCGACATGAAAACAACTCGCTGTAAAACAGTCGCGTTAAGGTTTGAATGACGCAAAACATTCTGAAACCGAGCAGACTTTGACCGAGTGTTCGGCCATTAAAGACAACACCACGACACGTTACTATGTACAAAGTGCGCTGATAAAAATCTAAAACATATTAAAGTGACTGTTAATCTGTCAGCAGGAACCCAGAATCTCTCTTTGACGAACGTTATGCGACAAATATGGAGATTTACGACATTCCACAGACGACAACGATAGAATGTAACCATAAAAACGTACTGAACTACAGGTGGCATTTATTTACAGCGTTTTAATTTGTTTTTTACAAAACAGCTAATGAAATACCAGTTCAGTCGTAGAGTTGATTTGACAAAGATCTGCTCTTTGAGTCTTTTTAGCCTGAGGCACAAATTGTACCAACTCTCCTTGTGTTTACCTGCTTTTCTATTAGTATTATCAGTGTTTGTTTGCCTTCTTTTCAGAATGACTTCCTGAACTGTCACACAGAACATGGACCTGCAGTGTAAACATTTAAAGGATGTTGGATTAGGCTGCTGTTCTTCATAAATTGTACTTTTCTTGACACCTGCAAAAAATAAGTTTCTGCCTTATCTGGTCTGCACTCATTCAAAATTTGAATCCCTTTTTTCCTCCCCAACTGCTCAACAATAAAAGATGATGATTCACAATATTCAGCAAAGAATTAATGAAAAACGTACGAATATTAGTGTTTTGCACTGTAAAGCATTTCTTTATTGGATCTCAGTTTGTTTATACATCTGTATTTTTCCACTCGGACTTTTGTATTCTATTAAAGAGACTTAATTACAGGCTCCGGAAATCCGAGAGGGTGGGAGGAGAAACTAGTCATTGAAATTCCTAAGAGTTGCCCAAAAGAGATGAGTGAATGTCTATAAACTTTCTTCACATTTATCCATTCCTCCCTCAGTGTTTGATTGCGATCGTCTTCACCTCAGTGAAGAAGTGGTAGGAATCCTTGCCTCCCTCCCTCCCCACACCAGAGTTCTTCATCCCTCCAAAGGGCAGGTTCAGATCTCTCACCAACCAGCAGTTGGTCCACACCAGACCTGCTTGTAATCGCCTGGCCACCCGGTGAACCTTCCCCACGTCCCTGGACCAGACGGTGGCCGACAGGCCGTAACGCACGCCATTACCTCTGGAAACGGCCTCATCCTCTGTGTCAAAGGGGCTGACGCAGGTGACGGGGCCAAAGATCTCCTCCTGCATGACGCGGGAGCTGTCGGACATGCCTGAAATGACGGTGGCCGGCATAAAGTACCCGTTGGCGTTGCTCTTAGGGAGGTCCAGCTGGTCCACCCCCTCGCCACAGTGGACGATGCCACCTTCAGATTTGGCGAGTGCTACGTAGCTTCGAACCTGGGGATCAAGACAAAGAAGGATTTCAACTTAAAGTATATGAGTATTGGAAACAATAGAACATTTTTCTTTCACGCCAGTTTTAATCCATCACCTTCTCAAGGTGCTCTTTGCTGATGAGCGCTCCGTTGTTGCTGCTGGGGTCAGAGGGCGCACCAGTCTTCCACTTCTTAGCTGCAGCCACAAACTTTTCCAGGAACTCAGAGTAAATACTCCTCTCTACATAGATCCTGCTGGTGCACAAGCAGACTTCTCCCTGACATAAGGAGGGAAGGAGAAAGACAGAGGATTCAGATCGAAGCACTGATTGTTCAAGACATTGTTTTTAAAAAAAAAAAAAAATCTGCCTTGTGACAAAATATGGACTGTGATCTCCCTCATGTGGACAAATCATGTAACTGCATCCATAACACATACAGCCACAGGGCATTAAGGTGACAGACTTCATTTGATTACATTAACATAGCAGATTCCATAACACATTTCCAATTCCACAAAAACTAGCACAAAACAGTAGATTTACCAGCCTTGAGATTAACCTTCACAAAAGCATGTAACATACAACACGAGTACAGCAATAGTAAAAGTAACCAACACTCCCTAACACTTTTCTCTTACCTGATTGGTAAAGCTGGAGCGAATTGTGGTCTCGATGCACTGGTCCAGGTTTGCATCAGCAAAAATAACGGCAGGGTTTTTACCTCCCAGCTCCAGTGAGAGCTTCTTACAGTACGGGGCGCTCCGCTCTGTGATGCGCTGGGCAGTTGCCGTGGAACCAGTAAAAGAGACCAATGGGACTTCAGGATGGCCGACGAGGGCGTCGCCTGCTCTCGGGCCAGTGCCAAATACCATGTTGACGACTCCTGGAGGAACACCTGCAGAGACAGACAGGTGTGCATTATCTTTTTAATAAAGATGATAGTGTAGAAATATTTATGTGCAATAATTCCGAAGAGAATCCTGCTAACTTCTGTACATACAAGTGGATTACTCGTGCATTGTGGGTGCTGTAGTCCTACCAGCCTGCTGCATCAACTTGCACATCATCCAGGCAGTCACGGAGGTCATCTCGCTGGGTTTTGCCACCACTGTGTTGCCTGTAGCGATTGCAGGCGCAATCTTCCATGTCAGAAGGTACAGGGGGAGATTCCAGGGGCTAATCAGACCAGCTACACGCACAACAATGTAGTTTAAAAACCACTTAAAACACAAAATAGAACAGGTTTTAATGGAGAACACTCCGAGCTCTCACCCACTCCCACAGGGCAGCGGATAGTGTAGTTCAGGCAGCCCATGTGGTCCATCAGGCTGCATTCGGTGGTGTGGTGACGCACCGATGACGCAAAGAAGCGGAAGTTGTGCACTGACCGGGGAATGTCCACAGTCCGCGCAAATGTTACCGGCTTACCTGTGATGGAACAACACAGATATAGAATTTAACAGCAGAGAATAATACGGATACCAGACATTCATCAATCAGTGTTTGATGAATGACCCGGTGGCACGATCACAGATTATTTTGGACAATGCTTGAGCTTTCCTCTAGTGCCACCCTCAGGCCAAATGTCATTTTAGTGCACAATACATCTCATAATCTACACAGATTACCATTTAATTTGGTCAGTACTTGCATGCTCTTTTGATTTGAATGACCCCATTTCATGACCCTTGGTCGGATTGAACGGCTCCGTGGTCAATTTGATGCACATTTTTCACTATTTTCTGAAGTTTTCTAGACCAAATTATTAAAATCGATCTGTCTGCAGGTTAATAGATAACCAAAATATTCTTCGGTTGAAGCCCTACACATGTCATCAGTCGTCTGTTACTACTGCGCTTGAACAGAAGTTTTGAAATTAGGGTTTCCAAATGGAATTAAATTCAAAAATTTGAACATGCAGTTGTGTTCATTTGGATCTGGCAGAGTCTTGGGTTGATACCACATGTGTTAATAACAGTATAGGACACCTTGGTCTCTGGACTCAGCTTGGGCGAACTCCTCCAGGTGGGCTTCCAGCAGGTCGGCCAGCTTGTTGAGGACCTGAGCCCGCTGCTCTGGGCTACGGGCGGACCAGCCGGGGAAGGCTTCTTTAGCAGCCGCCACCGCCGCCCCCACCTGAAGGCAGTAAAGCACAGAGATTAGCACTTTGTTCAGAGTGAAGTTCAACTGATTCCCAACAGGGAGGTTCACAGCAGGGAAAGCACATGTCAATATCCCCAGGGTATATTGACATGTTGGATTACTTCACTGTTGACACTGTAAAGAACAAAGGTGCTTCCCTCCGACCGTGTTTCATATGAAACACCAGAACCTGGATATTCAACAAGAATATACGACATGAAAAAAAGTGCATTATCTTTTTCATTTCCTGGACCATCTGCAAGAATGCTAAATACAAATCTGTTTTAAATGCAGCAGTGTTTGGAAGAAAAAAAACGAATGCAATCCAGTTCAATACCCCTGCAATAAATAACAACCTTTGTAAAGTTGATAAGATTATTTTATCATCAAATAAAAGTGACCAAAATAGGAACATGACAATGATTAACCCCAAACCAGATATGACAGATGCACGATGAGTCAGCTGGTTTAAAAGAAAAGTGCCAAACGCAGCACATATGCACACACAAAGAGGAACGTGCAGCCACCGACACAACACATACGAGCCTACAAATATGCAAACATCTGCGGCCACTGCAGAAACTACCAACAAACTTAATATTGCACGAGCCTCTCCTGTCTGAGGATGACCCACCTCCTCCTCCCCGCTGTCAGGCACCCTGCAGTAGACCTCTCCGATGGACGGGTCGTAGGAGTCGATGTGACTCCGACAAGGGACGAACTTCCCTCCTATGAAGTTCTCCAGGACCAGGTATGAGCTCTGCGCGGAGGGGTTCGTCATGGCTGCACTGCGATGCTGTCAAACTTAACACAACAGGCCGAGTGAGAGGACAGCAGGAGATGCTGCTGCAGGTAATGGTCTCTAATCATATCGGTATTCCAGTAAAGAGAAGTTACCTAGACTTTGCAATGATCCTCCCACTATAGAGCGGCCTCTTCCGTCACATTTCACAATAAAAGGCACCATAGTTATGCTGCAGCGGTAGGCTACTTATTCTCCCACAATAAGGTGCTACATGTACAAACTTGGACTTCACCATTATGTTGACAGTGAAGCTTCTAAATTCATTCTTGGCTTCGGGAACATGAAGTTGAAATGAGGTAAGATTGTCCTCAAAATGCAGAGTAAAAAAAAAAACGCTCCAGAACAGTAAATAAATGGACTTTGAGGCGAGATTGTTTTGTTGCAGAGAGAAAAAAAAAAAAAGCAGCAGGGATCAAACTGTATTCTGACTTTTACTTTATGTTAAAGATTAACCCGTTTTTAATGCTCACAGGAGAGCTGTGGCTTACTATCACCAATGTAGTTTATCACAAGGAGCACATGCTAGTTCACACTTGAAGAGCCACAAAAGAACACCTTCTGTCATGACAATGTAAAACTAAACCTCTGTTTTAAATTATTAGAGTGATTATTAGAGTTTATGGTGCCCACTATAGTTTTTCTTTTACTCTTGTGTAAACTAGTGTGACAGTCCATTTTAGAAAGTTCTTCAGAAAGGTGTCAGGTGATCATCATCCATTAACAGAGAAAGCGACATCACGGTAAGGGCCACCAGATTTAACGGTTCTTATTAGATGCCTTGATGGCCCTTCAGAGGTCTGTGGACAGAAAGGCTTTCAGGCTTTGCGTTTCATACATGGTCCAAGGGGACTGACACTTTGACTTAATGACGAGACACCTCGCATGTTGCTGAACACTGCCCTCTGGTGGACCAACGCACTGACTGTGTGGTGGACGTTCCTCTTCACGAGGCGTTTGACTGCAGCAATCACTGACATGGAACATCACGAGATCACGCAAACGTACTGTATGTCTGTCTATTTGATCCCACTGCTGTTCTGTTTCTGCAGTCTGGAATCAGTCAGGATTCTTGAGACGGCCACGTCATATAACTGCAGTGTTTGTGACTGATGCCTTGGTAGTTCATCCAGCAACTATGGCAGCTGTAGTGAGCCATATTATATATTCAGGTGTCAATTTTATCAAAGATAATAAAATCACCTAAAGCTAGGTAAGGAGAGGACCGACAGTCACAGCCTGGGTTGCTGGTTCATCACTCACAAACTGCCAAATCATGTAATGCAAATAAAATAAAATAAAATTATAACACAACATACAAACCATCATACTTACAATGTGTGTGTTTCTGTGCTTTCTCTGCATAACTCGTCTTTAGCCAGCTTTAATGCACACACACTTCCCTGTGTATGCGTACGGGAACTATTGCTCATTGTTAATCAGAGACATAATCGGACACCTTCGTCACACATTTTTGGAGCAAAAAGAAAAATCAAATAAAGATCCCACACCAGAAACCCTCACGAATGCAAAAACACCATCAGGCATTATATGCATCTGTATCTGATTTTTATTTATCTTAATTTAATACTATGTTCTTTTAATTTGTGTACTGTTCTCCTTTGCAGAAATACTCTAAAAGAGAGTTTTGGTGAATAAACAAACTTTACAGACTACTCAAACAAATCTACATTTTATAATAAAAAAAAAGCATATTTGATTGACTACAGAAAATAAAGGCATAAAGTGTCTTTAGATTGATTTGCTTTCACTCTTTCCATTGACTAGTTATTGTTTATTAAATTGTGATCTCCTTTGATGCATTTCTTACGTTACTTTAACGGAACATGTTCCTCGTCGGTCGTGTGTTGTGGGCATTTCTTTAAAACTCTGAACTAATGTTCTCTTCTTTACGCGCTCGATGACGGTGCGATGTGTCTGTTGAGGTGCTTTCCACTCCAGCGGGAACCATCTCAACTGTGTCACTGTCAAACCTGACGGGAAGTGATCACCTCTCCATTTTCACTTTCTACTTACTTTTACATGTGTACTTTGAAAAAAAATAGAAAACCCACTTTGGCGCCAGAGTTCTTGTTGTCAGATGTTGTTATTACAGGCTAGAAACACTGCTGGAATCAAAACTCAAAACATATTACTGATGTCATGTTCATTTTTTGCATCATCTTCCGTCACACCACCTTTCCCAACACATGGAAAAAAACAAAAACACAGCTTCTTCAACCTTCCTCCTCCTCCTCTTTGCTGAGTCTTTGATAGGAAAAAACACAGATGAGCACTTCAAAAAGCATGTTGGTGCTTTACTTCAGAAGTACTTCAAGTCTCTTTTTGCCAACATAAATTAGAATGATGTCTCTTTATCCAGAGGTGAACATTTAAGTGTTCCCTTTTTGTTTGTTCACAAACTACTTTGGTGAGACTGGACCGTGTCTGCTTGGCTATGTAGTGTGAGATGCAAAACATATTTATAGTAAAAATATGAAATGTTTTGCCTTCAACTCCCATACGACATAACATCTCGTCCTTTTATTTCGGTCTCGATCTAAAATCAGTTATTTCATGTTTTGATTAGGAGAGCTTCATGCAAAGGAGCCATGATGTGAATCCTCATCTTAACTTGACATAAAAAAAAATTTAAAAAAAGACATAAAAAAAAAAAAAAAAAAAAAAAAAAAGGAAATGTGGACTTCTTTTACTCCATACATAAGCAGGAAGTTGATGACGTGCTTACAGCACAGCTGATTTCTTTCTGCACTGGTTGCTACACCGGGATTCTTACTTTTTCAGTCAAAATGAATGATCGGCTACGGCTCCTTCAAGAAAAGCACAGTGACATCATTCACTGTGGAAGTCTCGGCATGGTGAGATTGTCTTATTATTGATCTGGCTTGATCGAACAGTGAATTTAGAACAACAAGGTTTAACTAACAAATGAATGGGGAGATGTGAAGTGGGTGGATAGCTGGGTAAAGCGCCTGTTTGATGTTGGAGGCTCCTCAGCATCTTGCCACATGGTAATCTGTGCAGTTAGTGTTAATCAGAGCAGGCAGGTGAAGCAGCCGGTGCGGCGGATGGAGAGGACGTTGGATGAATTAATGTGACGCTCTGAGTCCATGAGGGACATCTCTTGAGGAATTGCACTTCGTCTGTGGCAGCTTGCAGTGTCCAGAGCATGGTCTGACTGGCTCCGTCGATGGAAAGGGAAAGGCCCTTCATTTTTTGATCTGCGGTGAGGAAAAAAGAAAAAATCACGAGAAACCTGACTAGGGACACACCTTTTTATGCAATAACATCAAATATATTTGACGCAGCACTTTACCTCAGTGACGACCCCTGCAGCAATGGTGGAGCCGACATATCGGAGCATGAAGCGGCCCAGCTCTTTGTAGTCTTTGTACAGCTCTAGTGACACCGGCCTCTGGGTTTGGATCTCCACGATGGCATTCATACCTTTACTCAAACACCTTAAAGAGAAAGACACACAAACAGGAAGTAAGGATAACACAGCCACCTGGATTTCAACGTTCAAACAGGAATTACATTTTCAAGCATTGTTTGATTTGATTATGTTTTATCCACCATATTTAGTGAAGTAGAAAGTAACATGAAGCACTTCCTGGGGAAAGTGATAAGTCACTTTCAACAACTTGACTATTCATTACGTCAGTGCTGCACACAGTAAGTAACGTCTTTATGTGTACTTGTTTCTGTAATATAAAGCGTAATACAATGCACACTCACTTTGGTTTCTTCTTCAGGACCTCACCGCTGCTCTTGTGTAGAACGCTGACCAGTTTCCTAATGGTGGCTGGCTCACTTACTGTTTGGTAATGCAGCAAAACCTACAACCAAGCACACACACACACACACAGGTTTTGTGACCGTTGATCACCAAAATGTGTGCCAAATTTGAAGAAAGTTGTTCCGGAGATATCGCGTTCATGAGAACAGACCGGACATATGAACGTCTGTACGGAACACCTGAAAACATAATGCCTCCGGCCACGTGGTATACAAACTGTTGGTAGTGTGACTGTGTGTGTGTGCTTGCTCTTACTGGGAAGCCTTGTGTGATGGGGACCTCAATATTGAAGAGAAGGATTCGGGCTCTGAATCGAGTACAGGCTCGAATGGGCTCCTTGGGATCACAGAACACACAGCCCACACTGGAAGGAAGCAGTTATCACTAATTATGTATCCAAATGTGCACGACCCAAACATATGCATAACAAAGCGTCACCAGTAAATATGATAAGAGCCAAAAAAGGACATGCATGCATATAATAAAGAACCAGTGAAGACATGCGTTTACTTGATCTTGATGATGTCCATGCCGGTGACCGTCAGGCTGACATGGTCTCCTGCTGCAGCCCAGTCCAGAGCCTCATCGTGGAGAGTAATACCTGCAGTAGAAGCAGATTGAGTGTGATTCCCCCGACTGCCACAGGATGGCAGCATTCACCACTCACTCAATAGTCGCCCACTTTCAGAGAGGCACAAAAAGGCAAATCCAGGCGCCGGTGTGTTTGTAGCTGATGTGTTATTTACTCCAGTAAATGGAAGAAAACAAAGATGACAAACTAGCGATTATGCCTGAGAAAGTATCATATAATGTAAAATTCTGTATCCCGAGTTAATGTTAATAATAAATAGTTTTGTATGCATGTGGGAGTGTTTTTTTTTGTTGCTTCTTTTGCTGTTGGATGGCGACAATATGTTAGAAATAATGTGCTGTCTTGATGCGGAAACAAGTGGAACAGTGTCTTCTTCAGGTATTTCCACCTGTGTAATGGGTGTTGGATTTTTGTGAGCCCTTCTCTCATTGCCATCTATGAGGAAAATGCTCTGAAGGACTGCATGAAAAAGTACAAAAGTCAAACACCCTGCCAGACTGGAAGCAAAGACACATCCGTGCGTACCTTTGACGGTGCAGGTCTCATTGGGAGGCATTGCCAGTATCCTCTCTCCGGTCTGAATGTAACCGGCCTCAATCTTTCCTGTGACACAGAAGCCTGAACCCTGGTCTGGGAAGAGAATATGCAACATCAGCTTTAACACAGAAAAAGGGAAATGAGAAGGAATTATCTGCCTTGGAAGTATGCGTCAGTGATTTTACCTTTGAACACATCGGAGACGCACAGTCGGAACGGTTTGTCAACAGATCTCTGAGGAGCTTTGAAGGCGTCTTTAGAAGAGACGGACAAAAAAAAAAAAAAAAGAGGGAAAAAAACATTGAGAAGCAGGCTAGTCTAGAAATGATTCCGAGAAGCCTGGCGACCAGTGGTGATGAATCATTTTCACTCGTACTGGAGGAATAATGCTAGTTCCCTTCCTGGCTATTAGTCAAGACGATCAGCACTTTATTGAAATTGGCACACAAACCTCTAAAGACACAATAAATCGTTTCCCACCGAGTCACTTTTAAGTAATATTCCACTCAAAATGTGTGCTTCGAGTAGCAAACATTCACCCCTTGCCTATGAAGGAGTATTTAATACTCAACTATTTTTTGTTAGTATGAGTATCACTTTAAAACTCAGAGAAAAGTCATTGGCAGCAGTTTTTTTTGATGCAAACAAATGTGTTTTATGAACACTTGAATAAAGCGATCACTTGCGAGCAGAGTCAGTAGTATTTCATGGTGTCACCGCTTTTCAGGAAAACACTTTTATTCTATTGGTTTATTACTATTTTTTGAGTTCAAGAAGCTTATTGAAATTGGATAAAGTCTAGATGCAAACAACTTACATGAAAACCTAAAATTATTTTTGTTCATGCATTTTCATGAGACCCATGATGACAACAGGGCAGAAGCAGCTTGTGCTTGTTATGTGTTTTTTTTTTTCTTTTTACTTTCCCTCAAAGAGACCTGGTGCTAAGTGTCCAAAGGCAGTAAAGGCTTTGGGCAGCTTGCTCCATGCCAGTGTGCATTACCGATCTGCTCCAGCAGGCTGGGACCGGAGTACCAAGAGGTAAGTTGGGACACTGAACTCCTGGTGACGAGGTTCTCTCCGGACAGGCCGCTGGTGGGGATGTAGAAAACATCAGACTCCTGGAAAACACGTAAACAATGGATCAAACAATAGCAAAGCTATGACATACGTATCCTTAAAATGAGTGAATGACTAGCTCAATGTTCTCAGACGTCGAGTAACTTGGTGCAAACTCACCTTGAATCCTGCCTGCTTGAGGAAATGGCCAAGCTTGGAAATGATTTCTCGGAAACGCTCTTGTTGCCAGTTTACCTGATTCATACATATGCGTAAAGGAAAAACACACAGACAGAAACGTTCCCCTTCAGCATGGCATCGAAATGGAAATGTGTCGGCAACATGCCAGTGATTACAGGAAACTAAATCACAAAGTCTTTGGGCTTTCCTCCTGAGAATGTAGAAGCGTTAAGTCTTGAACTTTCATAAAAAGGTTCTACTTTATTGCAGGCGAAATATAGCAGCTTTCACCTCATCACAGAAAATATAACGTCAGCTGCTTGACCAGTTATTTTGATCTAAAGTGATTTAGATAAAAAGAAGATTTTTCTTTTTCCAGGAGCAGATTGCATTACAGCGTGTCAACGGTCAAATCAGTATCAGCTATGCTGTAACTCTCAAAAAAACACATCTCCACTTTGTGTTAGTAATGTGTAGCAAGTCTGACCTGGTCCATCTTGTTGACGGCTACAGCCAGCTGAGTGACGCCAAGAGAACGCACCAACAGGGCATGCTCTCTGGTCTGACCCCCCGCCTCGAAGCCGGCCTCAAACTCTCCTCGGCTGGCATCCACCACGAGCACCGCCACGTCGGCCTGGAGAGAGAACCGAGGGCAAAGATGTGGGCGTTTAAAATCACACACAAACTCAAATTGTTAGGTCATTTAAAGCCTGAACTCTGGTGTTTTTACACATATGGTACCTGTGAAACCTCTTTTGTGAGCCCTAAGAGAAGAGTGTCTGTAATGTTAGAAAC